TGAACTCTCTTTTTGAAATCACTTTTGATAAGTGCTATGATCAAGTGTACACAAATATTAAGGGATCAAAAAGGAGGGAGCAACTCACTTTGTATAGGGAATTTTGTGAAATTTCGTAAAGAAGGAGACAGTTGAGTTGAATCTTGAAGAAAGAGAAGGAGGTGATTACAGAAAAAAGGCTGGACAGGGCAGAGTCCTGAAATACCATGAAATTCCTTCATCGCTAAATGTCAGGCTTGTCCATATTGGGGACCAGCCAATGGCTCTGTAAGACTGGGGCATATTCATGAGTGGATGGATGTGGGAGATGAGGCTAGTAATGTGGGAGATGAGGTTAGGATGTGGTGTACCTACCAGTCAGAAGCTTGTAAGCAACAGGAATAATTTTGGCAACATTAAATTAAAAAAAAAAAAAAGGAACTCTGGAGTAGCTTAGCAAACTGAAGAAAGGTTGGTGAACCACGATCTGTAAAAAGAGGAACTAAGCATTTGCCAGAAATCTAGGTAAGCAGGAACTAATGGTGAATCTCTTCAAGGGGTTCTGTCAAGATAAATGAATCCCAACTACTGTTTCAGTCTCTGTTACTACACTCAAGTTTCACATTCCAGGGAGTGTATGGTTGGCCCATTTGAGTTCAAACAAACAAAACTTGACCCATGATGGATTGAGGGCTCTCCTTTGGGGTCGGTCTGCCCTCCTGCCTCAAGGGTGTACTATCTTTTGTTTGCTGACTAAAACTCTGAGCTGTAACCAGAAAAAAAAAATGTTACTAAGAATCCCACCAAGATTATGTCCAATTGAGGTAGCATAAATCCCAATAGAGATGTTATTAGAGCAGAAGGGAGAATAGATTCTGGGCAAGTAAAAACAGAGGTCTTCTCTAAGTGGGTTGTAGTAACTTACAAAGGCTTTGTAAGTCATGTTAAGGAATTTAGAATCTGGGGTAAGAAATTGAGTCACTGAAGGATTTTAGGCAGAGAAGTGACTTGATAAATCTCAGGCAGAATATTTTGGCTAATTTTATTTGATGTATTTTTACCTGTAATGACTAACTTTACTTCTTCCTATAGTTCTCAATGACATAAGAGCGAACAAATCCTATTCTTTTGTCTCTTCCCAAATGGCCAAAGAAATATACTTGATTTTTCCTGAGCTTTGTGTAGAATAAGGGAGGGGACAGACTGACCAATCTTCGACTAATAAAGAGGGTGTTCATGGTCTTTCTGAATCAGATTCTCCTCCATTCCACCTAGTGGTGTGCTGGAGCTACTTGTACTGGCTTGTAAGAATCACTTGCTAAATTTCTTGGAATTTTGTGCACCAGTTCTAAGTACAGTCATTATTAACAATTAAATTACATGAATTTAAAAATGATGCAAAGGTAATACTCAAAGCTTATCACTTCTTAATTATTTTACTATTATTTATGCTCTTGATATTATTTATATCTATTGTATGATAGAAATATTTATAATATTGTGCTATTTTACATTCTCATCTTTATGTTCAGTGGCATTATGTTGGTAAGTTGAAATTGGAGATGGTGGGAGAATTTACACCAAGGAAATTGACAAACACTACAAACCAGGGCTTCTTTACCCTGGAAAAGAGCTGGTTGTTACACATTTACAAACTTATCACTGCCTCCCTCCCTTTTCCCCAGTGCTCTTGTTCCTCAACCCCTTAATTTCAAAGGAAGAACACCAGAAACTGAAGTCTGTTGACAGGGTAGCATGGCTGACAGGGCAAAAGAAAACACAAAGACAGTGAAAAGTCAAGTTAGTTTTATTGTTTTGTAACAGTCTAACATGTGACTATTAGCTCTAACATAAAGATGTAGAAGGTTGGAGAATTCAGGACACAACCCCAATAATGCCTTTGCCAGAGGTTTTCCCCAGGAATTTCTTTTGAATATGTTTCTTAGCTGAGTCTTTACTAATCCTGTTTCATAGATGGAAATTTGCAGAAAAAGGCAGAGAAACTATCTGCTTTTCTCTCCAGGTGACTATGAATTCTTCCAGAATATCCTTTGTTCTGGAGAACTTCCAGAATGCCTTGGCTGGAGACTGCAATGTATCCCACTGCTCCCTCATTGGTCGTATTGAGTACCACTCTCTCCAGACTTTGGGAGCAGCAATGTCTAGGATAGTGGAGAATGACTTGTCTTTCATAAAAATCTTTCCTGTTATTTAACTGTTGAACCTAGAATTTTATGTCCTTTTTCTTTCTCCCCCAATTACATATTTAGTTATAATACAATAATTACAAGAAGGGACAGTCTCCCTGCCTATTTCACTATCACTTCTAGGTACATACTTACTTCGCATTACACGTTGTATTTATGCTTAGAAGAGTTTCCATCCAACCAGGCAAATGTTTTTCATCTACACTTTGCTACCTTGGATTGTGTGATCATTTGCACACAATGCACATGGTCGGGGCTAACTCAAGGTTAGGGAAAGGAGTGAGAAGGAGTTGGGGGTGGGTGGGAGGTTCTGTCTGAGTGGTATCCGAGCTGCCTCAGGGACCCTCCTTAGGAACTCAGGAAAAGCAGCTGTCCACACGTCTCACCCCAGGCCTTCCTCATGGCTTGGACTAAGAGCTGCTATATGCAGCTCTTTTGATTCCCAGGGCTGGTACATCTCTCCACAGGGACCCTAGTGCGCTGAATCCTTCAACACCACTTTCAGCAATGAATTTCATGCATGATCAAAGATGTTCTTTTTTGCGCTATAATTCTCAGGAACTCAAAACTACAGAAAAATTGGCCTCCCCCCATCACCCTCATTTTCTTCTTTCATTTTTACTCATTGGCTCACTTTTAACCAGTTGCTTAGTTAACAATCTGTAGCATTTGAAAGTGGTGACTGTTATTTCTTCAGTCAACACCCCCTTTCATTTCCAAATAAGTGAATTAAAAAACCCCACTTATTTCTTTTAGTATGCTCCTAGTATTTCTTGCATATCAATTCACTGGCTGTATCTCATGGAGGAGGGGGCAGAGCTTATTACCCACAATTTACCTAAGGAAAACTGTAATATGGAGTGGGTAAGTGACATCTTGGGGTTCCCAGAGTCAGAGAGGTACAGCCCACACTTCTGATTTGACTTTCAGGGTTCCTTGTGGGAAAATCTGATCCCCAGGTTGCACTGACTTTCAGGAATATTTGTCCAACTCTGTGTTGCAAGCTTCATGTGGGTGCCAAGTAACAGAGTCATGATGAAAAGCAGACAGGCCTTTCTACGATGACCCAAATATGAGACCCAGGGATTACCAGAGCCAAGCTTGAAACTTTCTCACTGAGCTTTGAGGAACTCTATCCTTCCTGGTCACAGATCTCCCCTAATGAAGGTGTTATAACTGCTTTTGGGCAGTTAGTCCTTTGCTTCTGGAGAGAGCTGCACTTTTGATGGCCTGCTGTCCAATGCTTCTTTTTACTGGTAGTTCCACATACCGTAAAGGTTTAGTCTAACAAATGCAGGACCAGGATTAGGATTGAAAGCTTGGCCTTAATGGAGCCCAGGGATGGTGATAATCCTGAGTCAGTCATAACTATTTGCCTCAGAATAGATGCTGAGGGATCCAGAGGTACTGGGTAAAGTCCTCCACAGACACACTGCTGCCTGTGAATAGAACCTGACAGCAGTTGTGTGGCAGCTTAAGATGGAGCATAAAAGAACACTTTCCCCAGGTAGAAAGTGATCACCCTTCTGTCCCCAGCTGTGTCTCAAGGTCAGATAGGTTCCTACCAAACATATGGGGTCAAAATTCTGTTTTGAATCTTTTCCGAGAAAACATCGCCAGAGTGTCCAGTCCACACTGAAAAGCTCTCACCAGAAAACTGTCAGGCAGGTCAGGAGGGTCAGACAGAAGCTACCCACCTGTCCTTCTCAGTCTCCCTGCTGTGCAAGGAATCAGTCAGGCACCACTCAGCAGGGTCTAGAGTTGGCAGCCAACTCATTAATCCTTCTGATACCCCTGGAGGTAGGTTGGTGGCAAATGCTATCTCTAGTTTGCAGACAGAAAACTGAGGTACAGAGAGGTTAAGAGATGACAATAACACAACTACTAAGTGGCAGAGAGAGAAAAAAAAATTCATGGTCCCTTGATCCCTGGGTCTGTTTCTTCCGAAATAGGCTTCCTTGCTTGTTGGGAAGGCTGAGAGGGACGATGGCAACTTCCACGATGGTGGGGTAGGGACAGACTCTGAAGCAGGATGCCACTTTACTCAAGGAAATACACACACACACACTTAGGCCTCAGCCAAGACAAGGAGAAAAGACCCTGATGCTGGGAGAGATTGAAGGCAGGAGGAGAAGGGGGTGACAGAGGATGAGATGGTTGGATGGCATCACTGACTCAATGGACATGAGTTTCAGCAAGTTCTGGGAGATTGTGAAGAACAGGGAAGCCTGGCATGCTGCAGTCCACGGGGTCGCAAAGAGTCAGACACTACTGAGCAACTGAACAAACAACCAGACAAGGAGACCAGCAGCCTTCACCTACACATCTGCTGCTGGTCCCCAAAAGCACCAGCACTTTTCACTTAGAAGAGGATGCAATTTTTTTCTTTTCTCTTCTGGATTAGGTCCTAGTTGAGATAGACACTTTATTCTGGTAGTGATCGAGCTATTCTCAGGCTCTGAGTTTACCCATCTTCTTAAAATGGGTCTTCAGGAGCAAAACTGTAGGAGCAATAGTGCAGCCACTGGGGGCGGAGGAGTGTGAGGATGTCCAGTTCTCAGGTGTGGGATTTTGTTATTTCTTTCACAATCCAGAAGAAGGTCTGTCTGGGATAGCACTGATGGAAAGGGGAAGGAAGATTCAGGTGGTAGCCAGAAAGCCACAGGTCCACAAGATAAATACACCTGTTCAACTGTCCACTGCCTGATATACTCCTTCACTGAAAGTTTGTCACTTTGAGTTAACCTAGGTAAAATACATTTTAGGCTTTCTCTTTTAAAATGTAAATTTTCCCTGGAGTAATTATAAAAAAAATCATATCTTAGAATGAATTTAATTTTTAGATCATTTTGCTTTAGGATGGAGCACCAAGGAGTGGGAATACTGTCACAGGGGAGGAATAGTTTTTGAGGAGGCTTTGGTCTGGAGAGCATATCTAGAATGAATATCTCAAAAGGAAGGTGGTAACCAGAGGTCAGCACAAGGGATTTGCCTTTTTGGGGGGTGGTGCTGGATGGGGGGCATACAATGAAGGCTGTTTTTCTCTGGCTCTGGGTTTCTCCTGTCTAGTTCCCTGTGATGTCAACTTGGTTTCTATCCCTCCTACCTTATCCTTGGCACTGCAACCCATGAAGCATAGCTTTGGTTTAGATGAACCATCTTGGTTATCAATTTCTCCCTCTGCTTTGGGAACTGGTTGGCTCTAGATAAAATTACTGTGTGTGTGAAATATGAGCTTATACCTGAGGATTTCCCCTGATTGGCCTCTAGATTTGTGGAGTGTTGGTTGGGGGCACAAAGGGTAGAAGATCTTCTTTTCCCTTCAGCTTCTAGGTCCCTTCCAGGGAAGAAGTCTGACCTGGGACTAGACAGGGACCCTGGCTGTTTGTGTTCCCAGTTTGTAAGAGGCTCTCCCTGGTGGCCCTCTGATGACTCTTTTGGTACACATCTTGTGCCCGAGCAAGGCCTGAGGGCTGGTTCTCCTCAAGACAAGCCAGTAGGAGGCATCTTTTGGCCCAGAACTAGGTTTGTTCCCAGTCCCTGAAAAAAGGAGGTGTAGATTTCAGGCTGAGTGTTGAAGCTGTCAGAGGACAGGAAAGAAAGGGACCTTTCCTGCTTTAGGGAAGAAAACAGCAACCGGGATTTTTAAAACCTTTTCAGTTTGGGGAGAGTATGGAGTCTTGTTCTCCTTTTCTGATGGTGCCCAGTGCAGAATTCCCACTAATACAAGGGATGTAATTGCATCAGCACCCAGGGCTACTGTGACCCAAAAGAAAGGCCAGTGAGAACTCTGGACATCTCCCGCACTGATGATTTAAACCAAACAGTCCAAAATGGTAAAATGAGGTTTGGAAGCCACAGAAATGAGTTGAGACCATAAATAATATGACCAATTCCATAGGGAAGCTGGGCTCACAAGTATCAGCTGAACTTGCAAATCGGTGCCCTGCAGGTTAAATTTGGCTTGCACATTTTTTTGGCGTGGGGGGGGGGTGCTCACACGGCATATTTAAAATTTGGTTGACAATGTTAAAAATGTGGAAAACTTCACTTGAACATTTGGATTTCTGGCTTTTCTTGAAAAATCAGATGGCCAGGTAACACTGTCTGATAATCGCTGCCTGAAAACGAGCAACTTCCCTCTGCTCTCCAAATTTCACTGCCCCAGCCGTCGCATGGCATTAGAACAGGTGCACTTCACCAATTTAAACCACTTCACCAATTAAACCGCCTGCATCCTGTAGGCGGTTAAGTTTGGAACCGCTGATACATGCCACACGGTGTCTGCTAGGGAAGTGCTGAGTTGGTCAAGTTCAGCTGAGTTTGTAAAGTTGCCACAAGGCTGGTAAAAAGCTCTGAGGCAATCAGTTCTGATTGAAAGGCTTTCTATGGGGAAATGGGGATGAAAGCAGAATTGCCCGTGGCTGTGGAGAGGGGTAGGGCAGTCATGAGACTGGGAACTTTGATGGGACAATGGGTTTATCTGGGTAGCCTTTGTACCCGGGAAAGGCAGTTTCCTGGTTGTACGGCATGCACGGTTCTACCACGGTGCCTGTCCGACCAGGGTGGGTGTGAGGGGAGGGAGAGGACTCAAATCGTGTCGGCAACTTTAGGTTTCATCTTGCCGTGTGTTAGTTAGCTCAGGCGTTTTCTTTCTCTCTCTGGCACCGCTTCACACGGTGAGATCGTCTGACCTGGCCCGGCTGCTGGCTTTGCTCAGCCTGCTCAGGGGTCTGGTGTCGTCCCCTGGCAGCTCCGCACACAGCGAAGGCGCCTTCTCAGGCGTCAGCTCTTGCTGTGATACCTTCTCAGGCGGCGGCTCTTCTTTCTCAACCTCCTTCTCCACTTCGGGGGGCTCCACTTTCTCCGCTTCCAGCACGGCCAGGGCCTCTTGGCCTTCTGTGCTCACTCTCTCCGCCTCTTGACTCTTCTCACCCCCCTCTAGTTCCGCGGCCGCCTCTACGGGCTGCCCCTCCGCGACTGCCTCCTGGGCGCCCACCTGAGCGTAGGAAGGCAGTGTCTCCTGGTAGGCCCTGGATAAATCTCCCAGGGGCCCCGGGCCCACCTTCTCCTCGAACTGACTGAAAGGCTTGGCAGAAAGGGGGCTGGCCTCCACCATCCCCACCTCCGTCAAAGGGAAATAATGGGACACGATTTTCTCTTCTTCGAGGAGCTGGTAGCCCTTGGCCTTCTGGATGGAGGAGACGGCAATGGAGTGGAGGGACTTCTCAGGAATCTCCCCCAGTGGCTGCTCCACTGGCCTCTTGAAGGCGGATCGGATTTTCTTCAGGCTCAGGTGGCTCAGCTCCAGAATATTGAGAAAGAGGGACACGGAGGCCACGGAGAGCATGAAGAGGATGAAGATGGTTTTCTCGGTGGGTCGTGACACAAAGCAGTCCACCACGTTGGGGCAGGGCCACCGGCTGCAGCGGTAGAGAGGCAGGATCCGGAAGCCATACAGGAAGTAGTGGCCCACGATGAAGCCCACCTCAAAGAGGGTCTTGAAGATGATGTGGCAGACGTAGGTCCTCAGCAGGGTCCCCTCCAGCCGGAACTTCTTGGTGCCCTTGCAGCTGCTGCTGCCCTTCTTGACGCTGCCCTGGTCCGCCGCTAGGGGCGCCCTCTCGCCGCCGTTGCCCGGCGACTGCTGGCTCAGCTCCTCGGCCTCGCGCTCCTTGCGCTTCTCCTCCATGCGGACGTGGTGCACCGCGTGCCCCACGTACACCAGCGACGGCGTGGAGACGAAGATGATCTGCAGGACCCAGAGACGGATGTGGGAGATGGGGAAGGCCTCGTCGTAGCAGACGTTCTCGCAACCTGGCTGCTGGGTGTTGCACACGAAGTCAGACTGCTCATCCCCCCACACGAACTCTGCTGCAGTGCCGAGGATGAGGATCCGAAAGATGAAAAGCACCGTGAGCCATACGCGGCCGATGACCGTGGAGTGCTCATTAACCTCCTCCAAGATGTTCCCCAGGAAACTCCAGTCCCCCATGATTCACCTACCTGCAGGAAGGAGAAGGCAAAGCTGAGCGGCCACAGTGCAATCCGGAATCCACATCTTTTTGCTAACTCTCGGGGTACCTCCCCTTCATGGGTGGCTGAAACGGTCAGTGGGTTAACAGTATCTTTTGAGTGTTTCCTCTGTGCAGACTAGTACTAGTTCAGTTCAGTTCAGTTCAGTCGCTCAGTCGTGTCCGACTCTTTGCGACCCCATGAACCACAGCACGCCAGGCCTCCCTGTCCATCACCAACTCCAGGGAACGAAAGAGGCATAAAAGAATCTGCGTACACTGGCTTTCTCATCTGTAAAATGGGTTCTCATTCACTTCACAAGCTGCCTGAAAGGATAAATGAGGCAGCGTCTGTATAAGTCTTGAACTGCCTATCAAATAAGAAATCATTGTTGATCATAAATAGAAACTCATAGTTTCATGGATTTAAGTCAAGAGCACAAGCTGAACTGAGGTTCATGAGGCAAAATGCTGAAAAAATATTCTAATCCATTGTTGTCTGCCTCCCCGCCCCCAACCAAATTTTTTCCTATGTATGAAATTGCCTGTAGTCACTTTATTTGTGACTGTGTTGGGATATACAATGATCGTATGTTGAAAGGGAAGTGGAAAGAAACATATTTTTTGAATATCTGCTTTGTTGCTGACCTTTGACATTACATTTTTTCATTCCGTTTGATACTGCGAGACCTACCCAATGCCTGTCGCAAAGCCCAGCACATAATGAAAGCTTGATAAATGTTTAACTAATTCGATTCTATCACATGAGAAAACTGAGGCTCTGAGAGTTTAAATACATTGTCCAAGATCAGATAGCTAGCAGCAGTTCTTTCTGCTAGGTTCTTTTTGCCACCCCTTTGGGACTCATTGCCTGTGATTAAAGCTGTACAGTTCTATGACTCCTGTGCTCTTCATTTATGTTTTCTCCTCTCTAGGTTGAAATCTGGAAACCTTTCTTAATAGCTTTTCAAATTGAGAGTGATATATATATATATATATGTACATATATATTTGTATTTATTTATTAAAATAAATCCAAGTCTTTTAAATCGAAAGAATGGGGAGAGTGCTTTGGGAAGAAATCATGTCACAGGGTGAGAAAAGTCCATTAGGATGGTTTTAATGTCCCACAGAGTGAAAAGGATTTAGGGTCTGTAACATGTGGCTGCTTTAATGGAGCTAAAATTTCATCTGTCAGGAAAAAAAATACCATTAAACATGATAGTATACAATGCCCCTAGCAATGGTGATGACTAATGGACATGGGATTGAACTGATGGGGGTGATGTGTGCAAACTGGGTCATTTGTCCAGTGCAAACCTGTGGTGCAAACTGGTAACCTCTGAAAGGCTCTGTTCAAAACCTCCACTTTGGCTATGTTCCTCCAGCTTGAACATCTTTAGAGCTGTGGGGTTTACTCATCACTGCGCTCAGACCAGGGCAAGAGCCCATGCTAGAGATGCTGGTCTAGGCTTCTCCAGCAGAGCCCTACATTATAAGGTCAGAAGTCCATGGGGCCAGAGGATATGCCCATCACATTTAATGACAGTGATATTTGCTAAACATTTGGATGAGTGATGAAATGTGGTGTCTTAAATTAAGTGGGATTGTCATCTTTAGGAGAGGGTAAACAAAGTGACTTCTGAAAGCTTTCTTCCAACTTGTGGTTTGGAGCCTGGCCAGACAGAATTTGGTGGCAGATACTGATGGCAGGGGTGAACAGTGACTAACCTAGGCTCTCGGCCATCTATTTTTTGGTGAAGAGTAGAGAGAGTTGCTCCTCTTGGAGCCACAGAAACTTCCAGTTAGGCCAGGCATCTGACAGCAGCTTCTCTCCTTGTGGAAAGGTGAGAGCAGCTGTGGCACCCCCAGCCATAACTCTGGCTTTGGGAAGAGTTCCTTTTGGGAATGGGGAATTGAGAGTGGGCAAGGGTTCTTGACTCAAAACCAGCTGTTCAGAATCCCAGTCACATGTATCTAGTTATACTACTGCCTTTAACACTACTCAGATAGCAATTAAATTTAGTTTTTGCCCTAGGAAGAGTGGCAGCCATTCCCATTGCCTTCTGGAAGAAGGTGGGAAACACCACAATCATGTAAACTGTCCATGCATAAATCCTATTGGTGACAGAGCCAGGAAAATCCAATATTTTTTAATCAAGTAGTTCAATCTAAAATTCATGTCAAAACAATAATTTATGTAATTTATTCCTGGGAGGTCAAGTCTGGCTTTAATGAACTCTAAATGTCGTGTTGCTAATGTCTTATCCCCGTTGATACATCAACTCCGTTTACAAGCTTACTTGTATTGTACCATATTGGTCCCTTTGAAATTTTGTATGTTTTTCACTCATGTACCCACATGAATGTGTGTGGTGAGTACCAACCCTCAGAATTGAATGTCTACTAGTCTTGTTTCCCCCTTTTAGAATCAAAAGCTTTTGGAGGACAGGGACCATTTTGTCTTTATCCTCTGTGAAGCATCATGACACAGAACAAAGACCTTACAGAGTGGGAGCTCCATAGCCACCAGTGGATAGGCTCAGTGGTAATCACTTGAAATCTGAAATTCTCAATCCCTGAGTGCATGTAATACTAGTCTTACCTACAGGGAGTTCCAGTTCCTAAGAAACTTCGATCCTTTTTGCTGTGGCTAGCAGTGGGGAGATTGAAAACTAGCAAAGAAATGGTAAATTCCAAAAAAGGATGGTAAATGGATCCAGAACTAGTTGTTTTGAGGTATTGTTTTGTATAAAATTAAAGATATAAGCTGGAAGGCCAATAATTCTTGACATGTATCACGACGCACATTCATGATATATGAAGACCCTCCTGACTACCCCATTTGTAATTTCAAACTAAAACTAGACAGAGCTGTGTCCTTCCACACCTCACCCTGCAATGCTAGGATTGTTTGACTGGTTTTCTATCCTTTTAAAATGTCGATGTTACAGAATTTCTTGTAATAATGGAAGAAGAGAAACTATAGTTGAGGACAAAATCTTTCCAATCCCATGCCATTGAAACAGGCCAACAATACCATTAAGGAGAAAAGATTTAGAAGTGCTAAGGAAAGGTGCCCTGGGTTCTTGACTTCTAAAAGTGAAAATTATAATTAAAGGAAGTCAGATAAGAGTAAATCTGGGCAAACTGTTTCATTGGAACGGCAAAATCTAAAGCAAAGGATTTCCCTTTTCTTCAAGGAGGCAATTCTCTGGTTTATTTTGCTTGTTAAAATCTATTACAGATGGAAAATAAACTGACAGACTTCGCGCCTCCACCCTCAAGGTATCCACCATAACACCTCACCGGAGGATTATGGTTTTAGGTAATGATTAAAATAACACCTAATGTTTGGGTAACCTTTATCTATTTATAAATGATACATTTTAGCATGTCTTATTTCAGTTTTCATAATAACCTGTGAACTAAGGCCAGTGGTCATCAGACTTAGATTTCAGAGACTAGTACTATAACAACAAAATAGGGTACTGACTCCAACATATGGCTACTGACTCCTTATTTTGCCAAAAAACTTTAAAAATTACTATGACTGCAGTCTTTTTTCACCATCATCTCATAAAAGGGGAATTTTAATACTACAGACCTAGATAGGACATAATTTTGGAATAAAAGACAGGCCTTAAAATCGAATACATTTAACTTGGTGAACAATTTACTCCATTGTTTACTATATCACTGTCACATTTTTGTCACAGGCAGCTGAATAATTCATCTTGGACCAGAGCTGACAGGCCTGCAGATGGATGGTTGAGAACCAGGGAACCTGGCAGTATCAGCCCCATTTACCAGGATGGGAAGTGGAGTGGGAGGGTAAGTAAGTCTCCCAAGGGAGCTCAGCTAGTGAAGGCAGAGCTGGGACGTGAGCCATGGTTTTCGACTTCAAGCCCAGGGTGATTTTCAGGATAGCATAGCCTTCTTCTGGCTTTGAAGAGGCAGAACAACACATATACATCCATGTTAACTAGTTCTATAAAAAGGATTAGAGGCCACTTACCCCTGGAGTAGGAAACGGAAACCCACTGCAGTATTCCTGCCTAGAAAATTCCATGGACATAGGAGCCTGGTGGGTTACAGTCCACGGGGTTGCAAAGTTGGACAGGACTGAGCAACTGAGCAAGCAAGCAAGCACCACTCCGGTGGGTAAGGCAATGTAAATGTGCCACCACATTTCTCGAGCAGCCCCTTTAACCACCAGCTCTCAGAACCTGCCCCCAGGAAGATCTTAGCGGTCCTTAACAAACCCGTTCCTGTGCTCCAGTAAATACTCCAACATCGAAAATGCTGAGCATGAAGGCTCTCCTACCCCCACGGCATTCGACAGTTGTTAATATCACTGCTACTTCTATGGCAGAGTTTGAGTGAAAAAGTACCGAAAACTTTCATAACCTCAAATACATAGTTTAGATCCTTCGAGCTACCTGGGGGCATGTTAATTCATTTTGATAAAAGAAAGGCCCTGGAAAGTCAATTTGTAGTTAGAATTTGGACATCTCTGCCACCACCCCACCTTGTCCCTCCAATCTTGCATTTCTTTCCCTTCCAAACCTCTGCCAACTCTTAGGCCAATTCCAAGGTTTTGGGAATTGAACTCTAAATCCAGCCATCCTAATCCAAGACTGAACATTTGTGGCAACCTTCCTCCTTTTGGAGAATTCCAGAGGTAGCCCTTAGATTAGGTTGGGAAAGAAGTGGGGGATGGGAGGGATTGGGAAGCCTACAAGCTAATACCACCCAGGGAAAACTTGCCAATAGGAGTAGGGTCTCCCGGAGAGATATGTGCTCTCTTCTTCTCTTGGCGCTCAGCGGTAAAATGGCAACTTTGGCCTCTTTCCTTTGGCACCTAAAAGCCCACCTCCCACTTCTCTACCCCGCCCCTACTGTGCTGCACGACTGAGCAGATATGACTGGATTGACCCTGATGGGTAGGTTTTACTGTCCAGCAATATTTTAAGCTCCC